TTCATGTGCAAAAGGTGTTTAGGAGAAGGCATGCAGAACAGATTATTTGCATGAAGAATACTTCTCACTTAGTTCCTATCATTTCTGGTTACAAATCAGCTCTTTTATGAATAGGCAACTGTCCCATGACAGCCATGCTGTAGATGTACGTGCCAAATGCTTTCAAAATTTTAAATATTGTCTACTCTTGAATTGTGGAGGGGTGGGGAGATTTTATTTAATGATAATTTACATTTCTTTGGGCAAGGACAGTTTGACACTGAAGTCATTACTTAAAAGAGTGGTGGAGTTGCCCTTGTTGGAAGCCCTGCTTTAGATGGTCTACAGAAACTCCAACTGTGTGATTATAATTAAACATGGTGGAGATAAAATCCACCCACCTGAGTTGGAATACTTTTTTCCAGTGCACTAACTTGCTCCAGAGAATTTTCTGCTTCCTTCTGAAAATACTCCTCTGGATTTGCAATTCGAAATGGTGCAGATGGTTTTATCCCTTCTGTCCTATAACAACTGTAAACCAAAACATGAACTGCAGTGTCCTTTATTTATATGGTGGCTGCATATAAATATTTGCATTCCTCTTTTCCTTGGATTTCTGGAGGGCTCACAGGCTCTTCCCCGTAAGATGTTACAAATACTTCACAGCTTACACTATGCCTACGTGTTAGTGCTCTGTCTCAATAAGGGATAAGAGCTATTTATTTCAATTTGTGACATACACATCCTGGCTTTCTTCTCAAAGAAGGTTCATTCCCTCCTTCCACATTTTATTGTCACAAATCTCAATGGGGTTCCTAATCTGAGTGGTAGCAACTGGCTCACGATCATCCAATGAGCTTTGTAATTTAATAGGAATTTGTACCTGGGTGTGACAGCCAATTAGGTGTAGTGGTTAAAGCTTCAAGCTAAAAAACCAAAGACTGTGAGTTCTGGTCCCACCTGGGGCACAAAACCAGCTGGGTGAGTTTCAGCCAGTCCCTCTCAGCCCCAGAAACAAGGAACTGGCAAGCCACTTCTGAAATTCTTGTCAAGAAAACTGCAGGGACTTGTCCAGGCAGTCACTGTGAGTCAAAAAACTGACTTGAAGGCACGCATTTCCTTTTTTTCTCCTTCCCCAGTCCTAACCAACATGAAGCGTTTTGTTTCCGTTCTCATTGCAGTTGCAATAAAATCGGTTCTCTTCAGTTCTGAAACTAGCAGGGAAGACTCTGCTTCTAAATCTTTCTTTTTTCCCCATCAAAAGAGTTAATGAATGGCTCTGTTCACAGTCACTGTTTGGTGGACATTTCACACAGACAATGCATTTGTTGACGTATTTCAATTTTGCATATTAAAAAGTGCAAATTATTCTTGGGAAGCAAAGTCCTGAGTCAACATCCTTATGGGAATCACTCAGTCATTCTGTATTACCGTCCATGATCAGCTGTACCCAAAAGGGTACCCAAAACCTAAAAGAACTTTACACACATACAAGGACATTCAACACAAATACACACAAAACAGATTTCACAGGATAAGCAGGCATATGTTTAAGGGCACGGCTAAAGAGAAAAAGGGGAAAAAATATTAATAGTGATGACTAGTCCATGGCATGAGGAAAGGTCCAGAAATACAAAGGAGCAAACAAAACAAACCCATGGGATGGCCACTGGAAAGAGAAGAGACAGATAACAAAGACCAGACCATATACTGGGAAGCAGACTGTGGGCACAATAAATGCCATTGTTTATGGTGCATAACGCTGGTATCTGTAATGAGGACCTCCTGCTTCTTACAAAACAGGAGTTCTTAACCAGGGGTACATGGATACATTTCAGAGGGTCTCTGAAATTCAGTGGGAAAAGGATTACAACTTTTTTTTATACTCACCTCTAACCAAAATTTAGCCTTTCATTCAAAACTGTATGGCGGCAATAAAGTAATTTATGGCCTCTAGCTTCCAGTTTAACTTGAATAAATCACACTACCTAAAATTATCATACTCTATTAAAAGCATTGTCTTGTTATTGATTGAATGGATCAATACGGAAGTGCATATACGTATTACAATGTTACATATTTGTTATTTTTTTTTAATATTGTGTTAAGTGCCCTTGAATATAGTTGGTTTCCTTGGTAATATAATCCATGTCCATGTATTTATGTTATGTTATTTTATTTATATTTATTTATATTTCAAATTTGTCACCCTTTAAATGCATTTGGCATGCCATTTCACAGTGGGTATTATATTAGTCACATGAACCTGCAAATTGGTGTGGATATGTAGATAGGAGCTTTCATATTCTTTCCTCGTAATTAGCAAATCTGTGGAAGTACCTTCAAATTTATTCTACAGTCTGTCTCCATATTGAGTCAAAAGCAGCCATAGACTTGTTAACAACTGCATATAATACTACTCTGGATTTATTCATATATTTCTTCACCAGATGCCATAGAATGTAAACCCTCCCTCTAGGACATCTTGGCCTAAAACTTGACTGTTCATCTCTAATAATATTGGAGTTGGATACCTTCCAGTGTAGATGCCTTGCATATATGTTACTAATAACACTCAGCAAACTGTTTGGTCTGTAATTAAAGGGATCTTATTTATTCTCTTTTTTATAAAGTGGGATAATTGTTGATTTCCAGTCTTTGGGTATATAAGCAGATAGATAGATAGATAGATAGATAGATAGATAGATAGATAGATAGATAGATAGATAGATAGATAGAAACATTCATAGCTGCTAGATCAAGTATGTATCTATCAGGGTTAACTTTGATGAAATCTATAGGAATGTTATCACCACTCAGAGTCTTTCTTGCTTTCATGGCCATCTAAAGTTTTAACCTCCAAAGTAATAGCTGGAAGCTTGATGCTAAGATGCTCACCCAAAGGCTAACTATCCATAATGAAGGGGTCACACCCACTCCATATTGTAATTAGAAGAAATTTTCCCATTCCCTGGCCACTTTCATTCTGTCAGCAGTCTCTCACTGTAATACTCCAAAATTTAGCTGTGTCTCTCATCCTGGCTCCCTAGATAAGTTGCTCATATATCAGTATAATTTTTTTTAACATTTAAGTAATACCTTGCTTGTTTTTTGCTGGTTAGTTGGTTTGGTTTGGTGCAGGGTCAGGGAGTGAGATGAGTCTACTGTATGATAGGAGTTGTATATCTAGTCCCTGGCAAAGTATGTTTTAATGCCTTATGTTTTATTATTTCACCATTTTCCTTTTGGCATATTATTTGTTCTTTTAACCCTTGGCAGCTGCCCAGAGTCACTTGGGGAGTGGGGTAGGGGGCCCAGATAAATTGATTAAATTAAAAATAAAATAAAATAGATAATCTAATTTAGTAGAACATTCATTTGTCTTTATTCAGGATTCAACTTAGTAGATTTATTTTGTTGCTCTGCTGGACCTGTTAGATCAGATGACAAAAATCCAGAAACTCACAATTCTGCAAAGCCATCTATAGTTTTTAAGCTAGAACATCAGATATAACTGGAGTACCAGGAACTGTTCCTAATGATATTTGTGTCACATGTTAATCTTAGAATAACAATAAAAGGATATATACAGTAGGTGGTTTCTCCCACTATAATGTTGCTGATAGACTGCATTTAACTTGGTACGTACCAATTTGTTGCAGTCAATTTGGGGTGGGTAATGTTTAAATGTTAAAAAATGTTAAATGCGGTCTTCATTAGTAATTAATAATGGAAACAGGGAGAAAAAATGGATTATTGCCCAAAGAGGTTTAGAAATCCCAGGAATTTCCCGGTATATAACTATACAAATCAATCAATCAATGAATCAACATATAAATCATGCAGATAGAATATAAATCAATAAATCAGTATATAAATGGCATGAAACACATGGCACACGTTTCTGTTCGGGATGTAGTATGAGGTATTAGGTACTATTTGCTTTCTGTTTTCCAAAGTACATGATTCAGGAATGCATGATTGGTATATTTCTGACGCATGCCCACTTCTACAGCTGATGCTATCAGTCCCCTCCACGGTGAAAGTGTAACTGCAGCAGAAATTGAATAGGAAGGTGCTTCGGTATTTCTCATCTCCTTAGCAAGCTTGGCTCACCAAGATGAAAACAAAGGATGGAATGTAGTTTCACAAGTTCTGGAGAAAAGAGGGTATTTTCTCACGATTGGTAAGCTAGAAACTCCCCTGGTGAAGAAGAATTTAACTATTGACTGCTAGGGAAAGTACATCCCAAATGTATTATGGAAGTGAAATTACAGTGTAAACCAGCCCCATCAAGGAATGAGTAGTATCTAATCTTTGTAGCAAAGTAATTTGTCAGGGGATAAGATAAGGAGTATATAAGCTATGTTATCCCTATGAGTGCTGTTGCTATTTCATTAAAGATGTATTTTATGGTTTGGAGATGTGCAAAACCTATCATTCCAAGGAGAGAACATCCTGTATTTCTTTGGGAACACAGAGATCTGGCCATTCTGGGGTGGCCCATTAGTTCTCCTGCATACTATTCGCTGTTCCAGACTTTTTACTTCTGGAAAACTGCAGGAACACTCCCAGAATGGCTGGATTGGCAACTTCTTGGAATGTTCTGCTCCAAGAATGGTAGGAATTGCACATCCTTGTTATTATACCTTTTGATATGTTAATAAACATGCACCAGTATTTCTCAACCTTGGGAACTTTAAGATGTGTGGACTTCAACTCTCAGAATTCCGCAGCCAGCCCTGCTGGCTGGGGAATTCTCAACCTTGGGAACTTTAAGATGTGTGGACTTCAACTCTCAGAATTCCGCAGCCAGCCCTGCTGGCTGGGGAATCTGTCTCAACCTTGGGAACTTTAAGATGTGTGGACTTCAACTCCCAGAATTCCCCAGCCAGCAGGGCTGGCTGCGGAATTCTGAGAGTTGAAGTCCACACATCTTAAAATTCCCAAGGTTGAGAAACACTGGTTTACACTGTAATGCAAGCACTATTTTACAAAGTTTATGTATCTTCCTAAACCAGCAAAGACCATTACTGTTACTAATGCCACCCAAAAATCAACGAATACCACAACCCATCCTCCTGCGATTTCTAAGATCACAACAGTCACCACCAAGACCATCACTGCTGCAAAACCTGCGATAACCATCCAAACAGTTAAATCTACACTACCTGCCAGTACAAAGCATTCACCAACTGAATCTGGGTCGCACAGTAAGACCATTGCAGTTCCTGTAACTGGGCCATCTTCTGCTTTGGTGACAGGTAAGTACTGATAATTCACTTCCTACTTGATTGTTATCTAGATGGTATCTGTGCCTCACCTCATTCAATTCATCCTAGTTGTCTTTCTTTTTAAAGAAAGTCTCCCAGAACCTCAGAGACAAGGCACATCTGTTCCAGAACATTCTAATAAATTAGAATATTATGGGTCATTTAGTACATTCACATGTATTTGGTTTGTGTCTGACTTATGACCCAATACTGATTCAAGAGAAACTATGTAGTAAACAACCAAAATGCTATAACTTTTCCAACCAGATATATTTCAGAAGTATTTGGACAACAAGTTCCTGAATTCTAAGCCAGCATCCAGTGGAGGCAGTCCAGTTGCTTGCTAAGAATAAAACTCATTGTCCAATTTATTAATGCTCTTCAATAGTTACAGTTCTGAAATACAGCGACTATAGAAGTTTGCCTAAGTAAGAAAGTTTGGCACCTAAACATCAGAAAGGAACAAACCTATCTGGTCCCTTCCAAAAGCAGATTCTACAAAGGACACCAGTAATAAGAAGGAAATCCCTTTTCTAACAGCTCTTGAATGCAGGTTAGTTTACATGTCCTACAACAGGGCTAAGCAACCTGATGTTTTTCATATACTCCAACACATATGAAAAACATCAGGTTGCTTAACCCTGTTGTAGCTGACAGCCACTGTCCCTTGTATTTGGCTACACTGACATGGCTTGATGGTAGTTGAAGTCCAAAACCATTGGAAGATGGAAGGTCCCTTATTTCTTTGTCGGGCATGTGGAGTGAGAAAGCTGTCAATAAACAAGGATATGTCCAGAAGGGGACAACAAAAATTGAATGAAGCCTGGAGACCATATGTCTTTGAGGGAACATTTGAGTTGGACATGAGGTGTAGAATGGAGAGAAGAAGATGAAGAGGTAGTATGATATCCCTCTCCGAATATTTAAAGCCAACTAGCTGCAATTACAGGGAACGGATTTTTGCTTCAAATTAGGAAGAATTTCCCAATGATGCCATTGACATATGGAAAGATGATAGGAATTATCCTCCAAAACATAAGGTAATATTAATTTAATATATCTGGGTGGTGTGGGGGACAGGATGAACAAAAGAGCAACATTATACACATAGGCAAGACCAAGCATTTCTGTTTTCCCCAAGTTTGGAGATGGCTGATTCTTAGTGAACTATACTATTCTAGAGCATTCACTGCAGTTGTTATTCCTCTTTCAGAATCATTAGAAACAATGTCTTCAAGGCTTTAGGGGTGGTGGGAGGAGTCTCCTGGGGCATTGGAAAGAGGTTCTCGGGGAGTTGCCCACTCATGCTCTAAAAGTCAGCTAAGAGAAATCCAACTTGGGATGGGCTCCTGCAACCAAACAGAAGTCACTTTACTTGCATGTTAAAGGAAAAGTCACCTAAAGGAAGACTTGTCCTAGAAAAATAAAGTAAGATCAAGATTCTTTTGAGTTGATCTAGTTCTTCCATAGATATAGTTTTCTTGGCAACATGTCAGAAGCATTTATCAGTGGCTTCCTCCAGGAAGTCCCCCCTCCCCACCCAGTTTCCCAGTCTGTTCGACAGATTGGGATTTCCTGGTAAACCCCTGACCAAGTACTAATCATGGCCAACTTGCTTAGCTTCTCAGGATCAGCCAACATTAGCTACACATTACCATCTGCTGCAGGGTGTCCTTAAAAAGAAATATGGTAAAACATGATAAGAATTAAATGTGCAAGGGCTTGCAGGCAAGAACTGTACAATATACACACTTAGAAGAAAAGATAAACTAATATTTCAGCAAAAGTATATGAATGCTCTATCTTTTTTTAAACCATTCCAGAAGCTTCAGCAGTTCAAGCCATCCCATCGAGGTTCAGTGCCGGCAGCTTCATTGGTGGCATTGTGTTGACTCTGGGACTTCTCGCTGTTGGCTATATTGGATGCAGAATCTACCACACAAAAAGAGGTGTTCAATATCGAACCATGTACGTTGGGTTGAATATTTGTTGATTTTTCTCTAAGTGTAATACTGAACAAGGTTTGAGGAAGAATGTCATCTTCTGCCTGAGCACTAGAGAATAGGATAAAATACAAAATTCAGCTATTACAAAATTAGCAGGAAACCTGAACAGGCTGACACCCATATTTTTCTAACACAGTAGTGAAACTAATGGTAAGGTAAAGTAATTTCAGGCATAATCTGATGCCAGCCTAACAAGGTAGGCCAGACCAAGAGACCAATGCCTTATAGGTCAGGACTACTTTTATTATAACAGCTATAGTAACAGAATCTTGCAAGTCTGAATGTGCTTCCCCCGTTCCTCACATTATCTTCGTGTGAACTATGGAGGAGCCTGTTTGAGATATTTACCCTAATTTCTTGGCTCCGGGCTCAAGGTCCTCTTATCTAACGGTTGCCTTGGTAGCGGCTCTTTTTTCTGTCCTTTAAGGCCATTACTTATGCTCTCTACATCTGGACTGAGACAAAAAATGGATCATATGTTAAAGCAGACATTTAGACAATATGAAAAATTAAGTATGTATTCAATATAGTAAAACAGAAGCTTGCTAAGAACAGTGGTCTGGCAACGTCTCACTGATTCTGTGCCTGTAAACCTAACATAGGTTTGCCCATTCAGTCACTAAACATTCTTGGACAATAACAGATTTGTTCAACTATATTCAGGAGAATTAAAAAACAAAAATTGAATTTCTGTTAATTGTCTAGAACAATTCTTAATTTGCCTCTACCCACCACAGAAATAGCCAGTAATTATCTAGACTGATTAGAAGCAGTTCTACTAACTTAAAAGTCAGACAGGAGTTTTTCCCAGCCCTACCTGAGACCCCGGTGACTGTATTCAAAGCATGGCCTCTCCACTGAGTTTTTCATTGTAGAAAGACACTTTGTATTAACTCAGACTAGTTGTCCAACTAGCCAGCTAGTATCTTTCTGAGCATCGGCAACCATATCAGTCCATCACTCAACCATAAGACTCACTGATCGAATTGTTTGAGGTCAGCAGATAAATCATGCCAGAGACTGATCCAGAGAAAATCTTAAACTAAATTGATTGATGATCTGACCCGGTAGAAGGCAGTTTTCTATTTTTCTGCAGGTCATTGATGTTTATTCTGCTGTTGTCATCCATGTTCTCCAACATTTTTACTGCAAACCCAGGCACGAGAACTGGCACAATATTAGCTGCTGCTAAGTGTGTGGAATCTTGATCCTCCCTCCACTAATAATCGACTCAGTGAGCCCTAAGATTGGGCTCATAATCCTAATGAAATAGCAAAATTTAAGAACGGGTTGTTAGTAATAGAATTTGTCCGGTTGCTTTCATCTCAACTCTTTATGTTTTTATTCCTCTGCTAAGCGAGACTAGCACGCCCTTGCCCAAGAGGAAATGTCATAGTGCTAAACCCTTTGTAACCCTTCCTAACAATAGGAGTTCTTTTGTTTATTTTGTGATTACTTCCTTTCATTTGCTCAACATGGGTAGGGGCCAGAAGCTCTGCCACGTCCCGTCTTTTGAACTATTTTAGCCCCTTGTTGGACCCTACCTTTTCTGTTACAGCTCAAAGCAAGCTCTCTTGCCTCCTGCTGTTGTTCATAAAAGTATTGTGCCATATACCTGAGCACGTAGCTGATCCTAAGATAGAATAACTTTTCCTTTAGCCTTTGAAGGAAGCCACACTCTTTATCTTGTGCTTCCTTGCCAGCACTCTCTAATCCAAGAACGTCCCATTTTGTTCACCAACCTCGTTGGGTTTATTTTTAAGTGCACAGTAAAAAAGGATGCATTTTCTGTCCTTCCCAAAAACATTGTTTTGTTTTGGGTTTGGGTTTTTTTGTTGTGGTGGTTGTGGTTCTCACACAGTGTTAGCCCTTTGCAATATTCCCGACAAGAAGCATAACCATGAGTATTAACTCTATATTTATTTAAAGGTTACATTAACAGAATCTTGCAAGACTGAAAGTATCTCTCCTTTCCTTTCCTTTCCTTTCCTTTCCTTTCCTTTCCTTTCCTTTCCTTTCCTTTC